TTATAATTATTATTCAGTTCATTGGCTTTTGCGTACTAAACAAGACCTGAGAGTGCTGCTTGAAATATTACAATTTTAATATTTCATTTTGCTTAGCTTTTGCGTTTCCCTTATTGGGCTATATATCTCGCAGCACTGCTATTGAATATGACCTGGTCAGGTACAGCAGGCCGGTTTGCTTCTAGAGATTCTCCAACAGAGGCATCAGTCCTAGATCTGCTGATTCCAGGCCCTGTTCTGTCGCAGCAAAAGGACCAAGATCCACTGTTTTTTCTTTCTTTCTCAGATTTATGTTTACATCTCGGGAGTAAATTACTTTCTGACATTTAAATCACCCTCCCATCTTAAATCCTCTCCGGGCCCACATGTAAACCTTTGAACCCTCTTTTGGGAGGACCCTCTTTTTAGAATCAGGTTGTTAATGTACCCCTCAACAACACCCCCACTTTTCAGACTGGGTTTGTTTCCTCTGTGGAGCCTTTACTGAATTGCATTAAGGTCATTTTTTCTAGGACATGTGCCGTAAATGTGCAAATATTGTATTACACTCCATCACGCTGGTTCCCAAGGCAAATATACATCTTAGCTTTAGTAGTGCATCATAACTCTTCATTTAACGTCCCGTATGCAGGCTTCACAGACATACAGATGGAGGTTTGTATGAATCTCTCAGATGTTGTTTTGGTTTTTCACTGAAGAGTAACAGAAGTCTCGCAAAACAAAACGTGTACTGAATTGTATTTTTCATGCAAGCTTTGAAAGCTTGTGCATTTCGATGATCCAGCCACACTGGATGGCCAGCAGGCTCCAGACAGTTCTTAAAGCTCGTGCAGTCATTAAGGTTTACAGGTGATGCCACAAGACACATCACCAGGTACAGTACAGGCTTGGTTAGGACAGTGAAGGAGCAGGCGTCAGGAAGTGTACAAACTGCAGGCCGGGCCTTTCCATCAATGTACGCAGAGATCAGGAGTTTGCGTTGTATTAAAAAAATAAATTTATTTTAAAACAAAAGAAATAGAAGCTTCCAGCCATAATCAACCCTTCTGACTTCACCTTTCCATCCCACGCGATCTTGGCCAGCTGTCCAGGGGTCTGCACCCCAACTGCTCAGGGTACCTATCCTGCTGCTCAGGCTCGTCCGAGAACATTTCTCTCATCACATCCATGCTGAGAACCCTGGCAGTCAGTTGTATGCCACTACAAATTACTCCTGCATCAACGTGAATAGATTTCCAGGGTCAAATCGCTCCTAGATAAGCCTGGAAACAGTTTTCACATGTTTCATATTGCTACTGTCTTACTTCACAAACGTTGGTGTTACAACAGAACACATCCACCCACGCAATCCTGAGGCCTCGGGTTCGAGGTCATGCACGCATTTAATAATTGCCCTGCAGCGTAGTTGTATGTGTGTGTTACAGCACAAACCTGAGCAAGAGAAAAAAAGTACACAAGCAGATCTCCCACAGTGACTCCCTTCCGGCACACTGTCAAGTTTTTTTTTTGGGGGGGTGGAATTGAAAGTCTTTGGGCGGGACTCAGCGATTTTCAGCAGGGGTGCACAGGAGTCACGAGCAGTCGAGAGAGGCCCTGAGCGTTTGTGCTGAGGCCCAGAGAGCAGCCCGTCTGGCCAACGTCTCACAAAGCCGAGGTTACAAGGACCCATGCGCTCAGCAAGAATTTCCGCACTTCAGATTAAGGGAAAAGTGCTGAACCAGACGTCTGACACAGGCTGCCGCAGAGCGCGATTCTTATCTGGAGTAAATAGCCGAGCAAAGGGTAGCTGCCAGGAAGAGGAGCACCCCAACTCTCTGGGAGCCCGACTCTTTTATTCCTGCTCGAGTGCCACTCACAGGCCCTGCACAGGAAGCGCGCGGGGCAGGCCTGCCCTGACCATCTTTCTCCAAGGCACGACTTTTACACCTGGTAACTCTCTCCCTCTCTCCTGCCAACTTCCCTCTCCCCCCGAGAGAAACAGAACAGAACTGGAGTTCCTCTGCAACCTCTTTTACAACTTTTGTAAAATGAAAAATGTATAAATCGGACGTATTTTAGCCCCTTGGAGAAATGGTACTGTAGGTAGGCAGCAGGGCTGTAGAATGCTGGGAGTTTAAATAAAACAGACTTCTGCAGCCCCTCTCTGTATTTAGTAGACAGTCTATATTGTCAGATCCGAATTATTCAGCCTTTGTTCAGGGCCTGTCCGTGACATCGGTGTGTTCTTTACCGTATGTATTTACAGGAACGGCAAGCCATTGGGCTCATCCTGCCTGCCTGCTTGCAGCAGCTTAACACTCTGAGAATTCCCTGATCTGTATCGGCTTCAGCCAAGCGCCCAGGTCGGTCAGCTGCGTGCCCCCACAAGTTACTTTTCCTACAAATTACTGCGTCAACGTGGTCAAATTGTAACACATAAGACATCGCCGCCGTACTGTATTTCTGAACAAATCCTTTGGGAAAACACCCTGAAGTTTTTTGGGATGTTGTTTTTGGCGGGGTCTTCGAAGCTCCTCTCGGGTTTGAGCAGCCAATCTTTCCCCATCTGCATCAAGCCCTGTGCGCACCGTCAGGTACTGCGCAGCAAGGAGAGCAGCTGTCTCCATTGATTAGCGCTTCACAGCTCCCGGAGATCCCTGTGGGCAGGCTGTGGGGGAGGTCGCTGGAGGTCAGCTCGGGTGTGGAGAAGGTTAAACTGTGAGCCTTGTTGGATCGAGGGGAGGTCAAAAGGTCAGAGGACAGCTGAAACTCTGGCCGGCGGACAAGATCCAGCACAAAGATGCCATTGTAGGCAAATCTGCAGGAGACTTTAGATACGTGGAGATCGATTTATTTAGTTTTTCCTCTTTTTGTTATTTTTCATTAAAGGTTGCAGGGGCTGGGAGTCCCTTCTTCCATGCTGTTTTATTAAGGAGTTCAAATGTCACGGGGAATCGATGAACTCATCGACACACTGATGGCATCCCCGCTTCCTGCTACCTGAAAAATAATTGGAATAAACCGCAACATGCAAACATAAATGAATAGGAAGGAATGATAAATACAGACAACCAGGCCAATACATTTCAGCACAGCTTCCTCATTGCCCCCAGTCATGTTTTCAGCTTCACGGTGTTTGCGAAAAATGTACTAATCACAGATCCATAAAGAAGGGCCCGGCTTATGGCTCAGGCTGTAGTTTGCACACGTTTTTTTTCTGCTGGTGTGTGTTTGGTTAATAAGTCCATCTTTGATTTAGGATTCTGGTTTCACAGCACGTTGGCTGTGGCTCTCGCGACACAACGCCTTTTACTCTGCAGTAAAGCAATTTCCTTTAATAAAGACAAGTTTAAAACCGCTGGGCCAGGCTCATCCATTTCCGTAACAATAAATAATAATATTGACAATGCGCGACAGCTGACTGTATTTGATTGGACCCATCTGAAGTGAGACATCAGTGTTCTGGCGCTGCTGCTCTGAGATTTCTGAGTTTCTCAGAGTGGAAGAGCTAAATGGAGGAAAACAGAGCCAGTGTAGAAGATAGCTTCTGGTTTGGTACTGCAACAGTGTAGAGAAAGATCTCTTCTTATATAACCAGCAACACTAGGGGCACTGAGGCATTCAGTAGTGGAAACCCAGTTGGAGCCACATACCAATCTGAAAATTATACAGCACTTAAAAGATAGATCCTTTTAACAGTAGACAGTTGTCCAGATTGAGGATTTAAAGCAAAATACTTTTTCGGATGTGTTCAGGAAAAATGGGGGTACCAGGGACTGACAGGCCTATTCCAAGACTGGTACATCGTGTCCAGCCCCCCCAGCCGTCCGTCTCGCTCTCTACCTCCTGAGGACAGCTGTCAGCACGTTCCCAGCAGCAGCTCTTGATTTTCCTGGCTCTGGAATTAGTTTGTGTTAATGAACTGCTCCGCAAGTCAGTTACCGCAGCTAATTTGGCTGGGCATTTGGGGTATTGCCAGAGGACCTTCAGCCTCTCTCTGACTCAGGCCCGCCCCCTCCGCTGCTCAGACACGCCCCTCTCCGACTCTGACCCGCCCCCCTCTGCTGCCCAGGCCCGCCCCTCTCTGACTCAGACCCGCCCCCTCTGCTGATCAGGCCAGCCCCTTCTCATGCTAGGACCTGTCCCTGTCTGGAGAGCACTTCTCCTGCCTAGGAGCTTCCTCTATGACAGCAAATTTTGTGCATCATCGGAGAAGAGTGTTGTGCAATTCTTAAGCAAATTGGGAACAGAGCCCGGATTTGAAAGGTTTCCATAACATTCTTCTGTTGGGTGGGGTGAGAGTTTAGGACATCTGTTCAAAAATACAAGAATCTGAAAACTGGAGATGTCGAAGGGTGTTCTAAAACAAGTGTGTCAGATGCTCAAGTAACAGCATGGCAGAAAAATAAATCCATTTTGTACCCCTCTGCAACAAAATGGTATTTCTTGATCATAGTTTGCAGAACCAAATATTGTGTTAAAATATTGTTGATCTATTAATTTTTTAATCCCAGTCTGGACATTATTCTGCACAAATTGCTTGGTACACTGGGCAACCAACTGAATGCACAATGGAGGATTGAGATGCATTTGAGATGGACAGCTGAGATGCACACATTAACTACAGCAAACAGAATTAATAGATGTTATATCAAAGCATGTTGTAAGCGCTGGCTGACTTGCCAGATCTAACATGAGATGGGAGAAGAGTCCATGGAAAAGCAAGTAGGGTTTCCCAGCAGTGTCCTAAGGTCTCCTAGTGTTTGGACCGTCATTTTGTAGGCTGGAAAAAAGCCAGATTCTGATGAACGCAAAGGACGTGCAGGTCCGCAGGGTGTGTTGAGTTCACTGATGTAGCCATGAACCAAACTGTTCAAACACTAGAAGATGGGTTTCAGATTTCTGAACACTCTGCAACTTGTGGCGGGCTGCGGGGAGTTGTGAGGGTGCCTGACAGCTCGGTACGTGTGAGGAGCTCTGGCCCCACTGTAACCTCTCCCACTGTGTCATTTTTTTTGCAGGCTGTGCTTTCCTCACATACTGCGCCAGGGAATCAGCGATCAAAGCCCAGAACGCTCTCCACGAACAGAAAACACTGCCAGGGGTAAGTCAGGACTCTTACTCACTCCCTTTGGGCGAGATGTGTCCAGGGGTTTGTACTGGGGGCAAAGCCTTCTTCACTCGTCCTGAAGGGAACTCCTTCACCAACATCACAAACAGAACAATAGATATAATTGATGGTGTCGTCCGAATGAGCAAACAAACATGTTAGTTCCAGGGGTCCTGTGCACATCCGAGACATGCAGAACACCTCTACGGCAATATTACTCAGATTTGAACTCCTGTGTGGAAAAAGTGTTTTGGTGCCCATGTGACCCGGTGTCTAAAACAAAAGAGCAAAAACATCCTAAACTGCTTTTGTTTCTACTGAAAGCCACTTAGGAGCAGAATGCTTGTGCAAAGAAAGACTCTGAGCTCCCAAGTGCTGGCTGGTCTGAGATACAGCATCACAAAACCATAACCGAATAATAGCTCTGGATATTATCCTTTTTTTTGCTATTTCGAACCCGCAATTGCTGGATGATAGAGCTGCACTTGGACAGGTTGAGCCATTTGGGAGGAGCTTTTACTTGCTATGTTTGCAGAAGCCAACAGCATGTACACGAAAAGTGCATCCTTTTCAGGGCGGTTGTGCATCTAAAACTAAGAACAGGGGGCACTTCCTTACCCAAAGGGTGGTGGGAGAGTGGGACAAGCTGCCCCGTCATGCAGATGAAGCCGACACCCTGGCTTCTTTCAGGAAGCGACAGCATGAGATTCCTGGATCAATTGGCTCACAACTAACCAATTACCAAATGGGCTAGATGGGCAGAATGGCTTCCTTTTGTGTGTAACCTTTCTTACGCTCCTATGAAAGGGACTGGAACTGGAAATGTAAACTGCCTGTACAGTTTCCCAACTGTACGTGACTATTAATCACATTTCTGCAATGAATGCATATATAGATCGTCATGCATATTTAATTTTATTTATAAACTACCTGATTTTTGATCTTACATTTTTAAAATGATTTTTTTAAAAGAGATATGTCTCCCAGAGGGTCTGCTGTGCTCTGTGCAGGTTGCAGTACAGCGTGGTCTGGAAAAAGCAGCAGTTGTGGGTTCAGGCAGCACAGGGAGGCTTTCTAGCAAGTTTAAAAGAGAGCAGCGCCGCACTGAACCAATTTCTCTGAAATAAGACAAAGGAGGATTAGCTGAGCCAAAAGGCACATGTTTCACATTAATGATGCAAATGGCATCCCAGCGACTTTGAAATTTCTGCCTGTTTCTTGAAAAATAAGTTGTTTCTTTTATCCTTCAATTTTACCCAAGCTTACGGGGTTTTTTCCCCTAGAGGAAAGAGCTTTTTGAATGGGAAAAAAAAATTGTAATGTTCTTTGAAAGAATGCCAAGGGATCTGTTCGTGATAGATTGTTGCTGTGTTCAGCTGTGCGATTTTAAAACTGGACGTCTGTGAAAGTGCAGTGGAGCCCCAGGGAAGCTCTTCCCTCCCTTCTCCAGCCCGGTACTGCGCTGGGAACCCACCTGACGGGGATACAGTGCTTTACGAGCAGGTGTGCATATGCATTTTAACAACGGGTGTGAAATTCGGTTATCGCTCTTGGCTGGCTCGCTCTGGTCTCTTGTCCACTGCCCTGTGATACAAGTAACTCTGGTGGGGTGGCCACACTGAGGCAGGACAGCTACCAGGGCCAGAGGGCAGGCTGGGATTGTCACAGTCTGCTGCCCAGCCCCCAAAACACAGGGGACTCTGGATGAGGGGTGAAACGGATTTGGGTTCGAATTTTCCACGTGAAATTGTACAGAAACAACTGGGGTTATATTTCTCCTTTTAGTGTATATGGTTTGTTCGCTACTGTGGGTTTTGTCTTTACACACTTGAGATATAGAGCTGCCCGAGAATGTGACGGTATGCCTGAGGATTTCTGTGCAGCACTGCCAGCTCTCCAGGAGAGCTGGGAGAACAGTTATCCCCCATCACCCGAGGGAACAGAAGCAGGGTTTTATTTAGACTCTTACTTCCGGCGCCTCGACTTCTTCTTTGCCCATGACAAGGGAGGCGATAGACAGGCAGACAAAAGCAGGTATAGATAGGTAGGCCGAATCGTCTTCTTCGCTTCTAAATCAGCCCTGCTAGACCGCACAGAGAGACGAGAGGAACAAAGGGTTTTGTCTGCGCTGTCAATACAAACTGCTGGCTTTGTGTTCTGGATGATGGAGGTTTATTTGAGGCGCGAGGAGCTGGCTGTGCTCTGCCGCCCCATTGTTGGAAACACTTTCACCAGAGTAACAGCCTCTCGCATCCAGGCTCCCCTAAATCTTTCACAAACGACCCCTGTTGCTCTCTGCTGACGGTAAGTAGATATGCCAGTTGTTTGTTTGCAAAATACTGCTTGATATGCAGTTTGCCAGAGGCTACAGTGTAATTAATGTAAACTAGGATTCCCCAGGAGAGGAGTTATGAGTTATTAACGGCTGCGTTTTGTCATTAACTCTTTCCCTGCTGCCGGCTGCAGAAAACAAACTAGGAAGGGCGATGCTTTTATCCTGGAGAGACATTTTGATTTCTTTATCTCCTTGCTGTGGGAAATTATATTGCTAACCCTGGACAGGCAGTTACAATAACCATGAGGATCAGCAGGCAATCTGCACTCCTAGTACTCTGCGGAACAATACCACAGTAAACACAGGGCACCAAACTGTGCCCGAAAATCAAAATGTTCACATGATTCACTTGTTATCACCAGGCTCTGTTCTCCATAGGGGCGTATTCATTCAAGTGCTGCTGATTATGGCCCAAGATAATGTTAGCTGTGGTCAAGACAGGCACACCATGACTGCTCTTGTGTGTATTTGGAGGCACAGTGTGCTCTGTGCTCTGTAGAGGGGTAAATGCATTGTAATGGCCTCTGTGCCATGAGCTAGGGAGTGAGCCGCCATTTCCCAGCAAGCCATGCCACCACCGCGTTTGGCCTGGGGGGGGAGTTGGAGGTGCTACGTGTTGGTGAAGGCGCCCGCCAAGTGAGAGAAGGGGTGCATCCCGGACTGAAAACAGGCACAGAGCCTTGAGTGGTCAGCTGCCAACCTCTCCGGCCCAGCAGGGCTGGCCAAGCTGGTCGCCCGAGTTCCTTCAAGGACCGCCCGATCAATAAGCCCCGGAAAACGAGCGAGGTGGTTTGAGTAGCATCGTCAGTGACGTCTCTTGGCTTGTGTGGTCGGGCAGAATGTCAGCAGGGTGGCAGTGGTATAGTTCTGACATGGCATGGTCAGCTGTTGGCTACTGGGAGGGAGGATTTCCAAACAGGGCCCTGGGTTCTGTTCCAGCTGCTCATATTAGCAATGTGACAGGCTGCCATATTCCACTCTGCAGAGCACAGCAGATGAGGCTGCAGGAAGCATAAGACATTAGTGACTCATTCCCTTCAAAGTAGCTCACCCCTACGTCTCCAATGCCATTCTCCCCCCATCCAACCCCAGCACACATCTCACACGTTAAAGGTACAGTAATGCAGTCAGGCTGTCTGATTGCATCTCCACAGGTGAGATCTACAGGAAACATACAGCAGAGTAGAATGGCTTTGCCGTGTTTCCTTCGAATCAGACAAACGCAAATAACTAACGAGAAATTAACACACACAGTGCCTGGGTAAACGCCGCAGGCTCTGTTTTTCCAGCATACTTTCCCCTCCAGCATTTAATGTTTGTTGCCTCCGAAATCCCGGCCATAAGAGTGAAGCACAGCCAGTCATGCTGAAACACAGGCAAGTGTGCCGACAGATCTCCTCTTGAACCAAGGCAAGAGGTCAAAGGTTAACAGAGCTGGCCCTGGTTGCTCAAAAATTCAGACTAGCGTATGGAGTTCAAGGCAGTCTTCAGCATTCTTCAGGAAAGGGAAAGGGAAAACCAGAGGGAAATATAATCACAGGCTTTTTCTGCAACTAGCCATAGCACAGTGGTCCTGAAGACCTGAAGTCTCTACTTCCACAATGCAACCAGAAGTAGACACTGCTCTATACTCACAGGGTCACACATACTGTCCACACCCACTCACAGACACTCACTGTACTCTGGTCCTCGTGGCAATGTCCTACTGACTCCTGTTCTTCCTACATTTACGGCTCCACCCACCCCTGAACATGAAACTCCACACAGCGTGGAAACAGACCTGAAACAAATAGCTGCATGACTTGGGGATTGGATAAATGACATCATGTGCCCTTTTGTTTGGATTAGTGTGTGAGATGGTCTAAGATTGCTGCATCCCCAAATTGACAAGGGGTTATGCTTGAGCATGTTTGACAGATGTAAATGAATTCTCTAGCAAAGAACCTTATTTGTGTCTTGCCCTGGGCCGCAAAGAGAAGTCAGCCTGAAGCTACAGAGCTGGTGGGGTACCCCAATGATTGAGCTACCCCTAATTTCCAAGCACCCCGTTCAACAAGCTCGGTCTGAACACTGTACCCAAGTAGATAAAAAGGCACCGCAGAGGAGCCAAATGACTGAAGAAGTTTTTTTACCAGAGCTGGGGGTGGTGGAGTGCTGGTGATTCAGCTACAGGGGCTTGTTAGAATTACGCCCAAGGGGAACAGTGGGGTACAGCCCTGAAGGTGGGGGGCGTGAGTCAGTGATGTAATTGAGCATAATTGTCGTGGAGTGACTCCCTCAGGGATGGCTGTTTTGATATCCTTAAGGCATGCTAGAGAGCAGTCGTGAGGAAAAAGCACACCGGAGCTCAGAATCTTAAATCTAGCAAGGTAGCTGATAGGGCGGTAATGCTATTTCAGCTTTCTTGGAAATCTGTCCATAAGATCTATAACGTGCTGAATGGAGCTGTGCTTCAATATTTCATCCTCTTCCTTCTAATCACCACACCACACCATAGTAATCAGTAATCTGACTTTCCTTTTTTTATCATTTTCCACATCTCCGACAATACAGTGCCTCCTGAGCCCGCAGTGCTGTCCATTAATTAACACCGCCGAGCTGCTCCAGTCGTAGCCTTCCAGACAGCGGGACGGCCTCGAGAACGAACCCGATTTACCGC